TCTCAGAGGATTGCCAGTCCCTTGAGGCAGAGGCTGTCTGGGTTTGCCTTCACCAGGCCAAGCACATTGTCAGCACTCAATTAGACCTGTGTATAAACTTTCCTGCTGCTGACTCAGAGCTCAAAGATAATCACTAGTTGGGGTTTTTTTTTGTTGAGCATCCCTGTGTAGAGAGAGCTATTTTTACCTGTACCTGAGCCTTACTAGCATTATTCCTGATAGGAAAAAAATAAGCCCTGTGTGCTTGAAGTCCAAACAAAAAGAAGGGACCTTTTCTCAGAGGTTCCTGTGATCCTCTCAACCTTCCAGGAACTGAGGAACAGCAGCCTCTGTGTGTGCCCCTGGCAATGCCTCTCTTCCTTCTTGGTTACACTGTGTGGATGACCTGCTGGCAGGAGAAACCCCTCTCTGAGGTACAAAGGGTTCATCAGTCCATACAAGAAAAGAGCAAGTGAGAAAGAGGCAAAAGTGTCATTGGAATCACAGGGTGGAGACCTGATGGATCAGAGCCTTTTCAGGCAACAGTTGTAGAGTAAAGCTGGTAAATTTTTGTTTGGAGGGAAAGAAGAGGCAAATAAGGGCAATGGAGTCTAGTTCCAGTAGGCAGGAGATTTTTATGGCTGTTAAGTATAAAGTCTATAAAGTCTCCCCTCATCTCCTTTGCTTCCACTGTTAGGAAATTTACTTTTCCACTGGATGCACAGCCAGTTCTTGAGAAGGGGAAAGTGTGGTCTGAATAGCAGCTCCTTGGCCAGAATCCCTGACAGATGACTGAGGCTGCAGTACATGCAGCAGCAGGAGAGGCTGGGGAGGATGATTTCCTTCTCTGGAGTGTGTTTGGGTGGGAAGTGTAAGATGTTTTTATTTTTATGCTGCACATTTTTGTGATTCCAGCCCTGCACAGCAGCAGTTGGGCAGAGCTGGCTCTGAAGGTGCTTGTGCACCTGTGCTGGGTGGGACAGTCATTCAGAGGCAGAAATAGACACCAGGCCATCCTGTTTGGGCAATGACTCTATTCCTGCCTTCTCACCACAGCTGGCACTTCAGCAGCTCAGCCACAACGGGAGAATAAAGACAAATGGGCTCTCTTTTTGACAATACCTGTACATAAAAGAACCTCCCTCCTCAGTGCCATTATGTGCCTGTTTATTCACCTTTTGCTCACATGATAATTTGCTTCTGCAGAAATGTATCTCAGCTCCACCCCAAGCTGGGACTGAGCCACTTCTGCTGGCACTGCTGGAGATCATTTACCAGGAGAAATCAGCTGTACACATCCATAATGGCACTGCCCTAGCTATACCTGCTCCAGACACCATCACTGCCTTTGCAGTAGCTCATCCCAAGCCCCAGTGGGTTTCTAACTCTGCCCTGGCTTGCACTCTACAGCTCTTCAAGACTTGGTAATATTCTGAGATGTCCCTAAGTGAAAATGGGAAGAGAAGATGTTGATTGGGAAGAGGCAAATGCAGTTCCATCCTCTGTCCCAGTGGTCCCCTAATAAAAAAGATTTGTGGCTGTGGGTTGAGCTGAAGCAGCAGCTGCTGTGGTGTCACTTTGGTATTAATTGGGGAGTGAGTGAGTGCAAGGAATAGAAAATGCTGTGGAAGAGGGGAGAGAAGGCAGAGAGGAAGAGGCTGGCACAAGTGCCAGGTTCCTTTACTGAAAGACAACTCTCTGCCTTGTGCTCAGCCACCTTTCCTACAAACTACCCATGTTTCTCCTGCCCCTCTCTCCAGATGAACCTGCTGCAGTTTTCTGTCTTCTGGATAAGGTCTCTCCTTTGTGGTGTGTAGCTGTTGCAGAACCTCAGCTCCTGCTCTAGAGTAACTTAGTTTTCCATCCCACCTGGCAATGTGCTCTCCACCCATTCACCTCTGTTGTGCCAGGTTGGGCTTCAGGAGTCTTAGCTGTCACTAGCAGGAGCAATTGCAAAAATTGATTCATGGCAAATGCCTGTTACAGGCAAGTCCTTTTGACAGACCATACAGCCATCATATTGTGCATTTATTTGAGTCAATCAATGCTCTGATGCATATTTGGGTCATAAATACTCCGCTATAAATTGCATTTATTCTTGTGACAGCTGTGTTCCATTACCTGCTATTTATTCAGCTCTGTTGTCCTTTCGTTTTACACCTTGTGGAGCTGTCAAGTCAGCTGCTTACTGCTGACAAAGCTCCCAGCTCACAACCTTCCAAAAATAAATCCTCCAAAGGGATTTGAGTAGCAGCAGGATGTATGTTGTTGGAAAGGCATTGGACAATCTCTTTTTGGTTTGTTTTATTGGAAAGAGGAACTTTGTGCTTTTTTGCCCAAATTCCAGAATTAGACTTTTCATTTATGATCAAGAGGTCATTGAAGCTAATAACCCCACTGATTAATGTGAATTTTGCATCACCCCCTGCGTGTCTCAGAGCTGAATTAATAATCAGGTTATTCGATATTTGAGCTGGTGAGATGCTGACTTGGATAGTCCTCATTTTCCCTTGGAAGCTTTTTTAGCTTCATGTCTTTTTCCATCATAAAAGTGGCAGAATATGTGATTCTGAGATGAAGGAATTGCAGTGTCCTTCCAAGGGAAAGGTCAAATTGCAGTGGGCACACTGCTCTGGACGAGTCACAGTCATTTTCTGCTCCTCATTCCCAACAAACAGCCACATCCCCCTCATGCCAGGCTGCTGCACCAGCTCTGCAAGGTGCCCAATGCTTTGGTGTTAATTCAGGAAAGCACTTAATCATGGAATTGATGACTCTAAAGTGCCTAATATAAGCATGTGCTTAAGTGCCTTGTTGGACTGGGGCCAGTGCAGATGTACCTTCACTGAGCAGAGATTTGTGAGCCACTTCTGCTCTAGTAGAGCCAAGTGCACTGGAGATAAAGGATTTCAGGAATGTGCAGTCAGGGCTGCAGGGCTGGGTGAGCATGGCAAAAGGCTCCTGTGTAGGAAAGGAAAGAGCATTTACCCAGGCATTCCTTGTCCCTGTCCTGTGCCAAAGCAGGAGCCACGGTGAGCAGAACGAGGTGCTGGAGTTCTGCAGCAGCCCAGTTTGCCCAGCTGGGCTGTCTGGGAGTGTGTGTGCTGCAGGGAAGGGGCAGCAGCACTACCTCTGTCTCCTAAGGGGTGACATGGGCACAGGTTTCTTGGGGACAGTGTTAAACTGGCTATCAGCCTAGTTGTGAGGTTTCTCTGCAGAACACAGAGATGCAAACACTGCCTAAGTGCTCATAGTTTTATTCAACAGGTTCTGTTTGCACAAGGATTTGGGGATAGCTGAAGGGACTGAGCATTCTGTCAGTAGGGTTTATGTGTGAGCTAAACAGCAGCACTGTTCATGCCATTACTGCTGAAATATGTGTGATGTAATGTTGCTTGTGCTGCTTTTCAGGTCTTAACATTATCTCCATTTATTTTACTCTAAAAAAGAGTAGATCTGTAATTTAGATCAGATATCACAGTGCAAAATAGATACACACACATTCATATGGCTCACAAAATAGAGATGCAAATGGATATGTATTATTTATAAAGCAGCTTTGACATCTTAATATACTAAAAAGAAGAAGAGACATTTAGTCATAGTTCAGCATTCTGCACATTTTTGAGCTATTGCATATCATCAGCCTTGAAAAATGGATGATTTGGGTCTTAACCAGTTTAACCTGATGCCATGTTCCAACTAAAGGGATGTGTGTCCTCTGGTCTTCTCTTTGGTTTACCTATTCTATCCCTCCCCACCCCATTTTCTACAATCAAACATAGTCAGCTGAGGTCAGGCAATGCCAAGAGCTCACCCTGCCCTCCAAGAACCACCTGATAATTAACAAGAGTCAGAATTCTGTGACTGAAGAGGAATCTCCAGGAATTCTGGTGTCCCCACCCAAATCCTTCTGGGTTTGCTGAACACAAGACAGTCAATGAAAGTTAGAGATTTCATACTACATGGCAGTGAAATTAATGTAGTGCCTCTCATAAAAAATCTCTAACGTGATCAGACAAAAGGCAAGTGTAAATCAGCTTGGAAGCTGGCAATTCCTGCCAAGTTCCAAATGAGTCAGGAATACGATGTGAGTGCCCCATTTCAGGTGTCTCAGGGGTGCCACTGGCCTGATTGTTTTGAGCTGGACTGGAGGAGTGAATTCTGAATTGAGGTGATTTTGCAGAAGTTTTTCTGCCAAGAGCCTCATACCTACGTGACAGAAGGTCTTGGGTTAATGCTTTGGAGGTTTTTTGGGGAAGCAAAGCAGAAAGGTGAATTTGTAGCCTTTCAAATGAGGACATTCCTGGCCTGTTTGGACTTTGTAGGTTAAAACTTTTCTTTTAGTGAAACTGTTACTCAGTGATAGGTTTAGAAACAAGTTCAGTGCTGGTGAAAGGATCTAACAAAGAGACAGTTTTTTTGTCCAACCACAGCGCTGGTGCCAGTAGGGTGATAAGCAGTGTTTACTGATTTTCCTCACTGTTTCATGGTTTCCTTAAAATATTCCTTGGAAGAATGAAAGAACTTCAGTTTCTGTAGCCCATTTCTCTCTTGTCTCTTAAAATATTCCTTGGAAGGATGAAAGAACTTCAGTTTCTGTAGCCCATTTCTCTCTGCTCTCTTCTGCAAGAGCCAACAAAGAGCCCTTGGCTTGTTTTCTGCTTGCTTGAAACTCCTTCCAACCTCCACTTCACCTTCTCAGTAACATTCAGGCAGAAGCTCTTTATTTATTCTGTCCTGCTTTTGCCCATCCCCAGATCCTGAGCTCGCAGCAGGCCATGAGGGGTTGGTGCTTTCAAGTAATATGAGTTCACTGGTCTGAAGTTTCTCTGGGAATGAAAAAGCTGTTTGATTAAGAACATGCTGACTTCTGAAGGCCTATCAGCCTGCACAACGCTAAGGCAGGGCTGCAGTGTCTAATTAAATGGAACTGCTCTCTAGAGGATTTGGTTTGCAGAAAATTAGTTTTCATGTCTGATGTTTATTAAATGTTTCTTTCCCTTTTCTCTCCTTTGCAGTTTTCATCTGTAGTTTCATGGTGGCAGCACCAATCTTTGGTTACCTTGGGGATCGCTTCAACAGGAAAATCATTCTCAGTTGTGGCATCTTCTTTTGGTCAGCTGTCACTTTTTCAAGCTCCTTCATCACTGAACAGGTAAGATCTTTGCAAAGGCACTTTGCAGGGTGTCCTGAAAAGCTGGACAATACATTCCATAAAATCTCCCCATCACAGAGTGCCCAAGGAGAACATATCCCTCTCGTGTGTGTTTAACATTGCTCATGTTGCATTATCTGACCTTTTGTGGGTGAAGTGTGCTCTGTGGAGCTGTGTTTGCTTAACTGGGGAAGCTGTTATTCTTTGATCCTGCACATTCATAAAAAATAACAGGTGAAGCATATCTAAGCAAGAGTTTCTGTTGACATAAGGGCTTTGTTTTGAGGGAGGTCCTAAAGGAGCTTTAAAAGGCTTCACAAAGGACTTGGGAAAAGGAATCCATGGGTATATAGTGGTTCTCTTGTGTTCTGATACATAACAGAAGCCACTGGAGTTTGTTGGCAAGTTTGCTCGAGGTATGTGGAATAACAAAAATGCACCCAGCAGTGGTTTCACATAGGTACTTTGGTTCCTGTCCATAAAGGCAGTGAAGGTGGATGATAACATAGAGATTAGACATAGTTTCAGCTCTTTTAATGCTGTTTGATGGATGTGTCTGGGGAGCTGGTGATGGAATTGTCAGGCTGATTTAATTTTGCCAAGCTCTGCACAGCATCCCTCCCCTGCTCTCAGGACAGCCCCAGTACCCTGTCTTGAGGACTCCTCATTGCATTCATTTCCTTGTCTGTCAGAGGCACTTGGAGGAAACAATGATCTGGTAGTTTCAGGGGGAAAATATCCTCTTGTTTCAATCCTGTTATGGAGGAGATTTAATTGCTGCAGGTGGCAACATTCCTGGAGAGACAAATCACAGCTCCTGGCATCATCAGCCTGATTTCCCCAAGGGAGACAGGGGCATTCCTCATCCTTGCTGTCCTGCTGCGTTCCAGAGATTTCAGCATTGTGGTCACACCTAGAGAATGAAACCAGGGACTAAACCTCTCCATCCTGCTCCCTCCTGCTCACACACATGCTCTGCAGTTTCTAATAAAAGAGAATTTCCACCTACAGCAGACAGTGTCAGTCTGGCTCTCACACTGGATTGAGTGTTGCTGCATTTCTAAAGCAAAATGCATGTGGCCAAATGGAGAAGCCTTTAATTCAGTAAATTGCTCTGGTTTATAGCTGGCCAGGAAGCATCCTTGCCAGAAGAAAGAACATCTCTCATCTCAAACAGGGAGGATTTTTTGGTTTGCTTTGTTTGTTTTTCTTTAAACATCTCTCATAACATTCTGCAAAAGCAGCTGTGATCAGAGCCCAAACTGAGAGGCATTTTATGAAGGAACCAATCACTTGGTTATAAATACTTCTCATGTTATGGACATACATCATGCTCAAGTTCTCAGCAATCTCTGTGCAACAGACCCACAGCTGGAAGCAGTGGAACACTGGGACTGGAGTGATGTTTTCAGAGCTGAATTTCAGCTGAAGGATTTGGGACTCAGAGTGGAAGTGGCATATTGTTAGTGAAAGAAAAGGAGAATAATACTTATAAAGGTAGATTATATTTGGAATCCAAACCCTAATGTTTTGGAAGTCACAAGAGAGACAATATCAAAATAACCAGACCTGTGTTAATTCCTCCTGGATTTACATCAGTGCTAACTCTGCATCCAAGCTACAACCTTGGATAAAAAAACCCCAATACATAACATGCCAATGCATGAAGCCTCTTCTGCTTTGGTACTTGCACATTTCTGCTCTATGAAATTGTTTAGCACTTCCTGAAATAAAAGTTGCGTTAAGAAGTCATTAAACTCATTCATTAAACAAAAATTAGGTAAAGTTGGTCCATATTTAGACATAGCTCTAGATGAACTCCATTTATAGAAACTTCTCTCAACTATGTATATATCTTAATCTGTATTTTGTAAGTACAAACACCTGCTTAGGAATTGCCTCCCTTTAAGGCTGCCTTTCCATCAGGCCTGCACACAAATTTGGCACTTTCACCTGCAAACCCTTTCTTGGGTAGTTTTGGCTTTTGAGAAACATTTGGGGAAACACTTGCTGGTTCTTGGTTCATGCTCTGTAATAAATAAACAATCAGTGAGCTGCTGTATGGTGTAGAGTCATATCCCAGACAAATGCACTGGGCATACAATCTTCATGGAGTTTCTTTACCAGGGTGTGTTTCCATCCACACAAAAAGCTGAATATGTATCTGTGTTCCTCTGTATCAATATAAGCTCTGATTTAATAAGTAAGCAGTTTATTTCTCTAGGTAGCATTTTGGATGATGCCTGTGTGGTGGCTGATCATCTCAAACTGGTTTATATTCCAGGATATCACTGTAAAGAGTCTATAATCCCAGTTGCTCCATTTCTGTCTCTCTCTGAACAGTTTCATGTGAGGCAATCTGGTTATCAGGAGTGGTCAGGCCACGTGCTGAGAGCTTCTTTCTGGCTGCCTGGATATCCACATCTATTAGTCATAGTAATTGTTCTTAGAGCTAAGTAATTTGGGCAGCAATTTGTCTTAGATGAGCCCTCACTTTTGATGCTAGACTTCCTACCCCTTTTGGCACAAAATTTCAGGAGATCAGGACCCCTCTCCCTTGTGGGCAGACATCAGTCTCTTAAAGCAATAAAGAGCTAGGAGGTGGAAATTTGCAGGCTGTTCTCCAGTCTTCAAAAGTACTGCTATTGCCATGTGAATACCTTGAATAAAGCATGTTTCTGGGTAAAAGAGATGCTGTTTTATACAGGAGTAAAGGTTCCTGCTAAGCAGTGAGGCTGCACTGGGCTGGGAGACCTAGAGTGCCTAATAACCAGCCAGAGCAGGCTGTGGTAGTGTGGGTTTACTGGGAGCTGTCAGAGCTACACATGCCAGAAAGTTTGGAAATGGAAAACCAACGCAAGGTAAACCAGCAATGTGCTTTTCAACCCTCCAGTTCTTGGTAAATATTTCTGTTTACATGTTGATATAGCTAACACCATAAAACGGTTTGCCTCCCACTGCAAGTTCGTCTGGAAAGGTGTTTTTTAGTTAGGTTTCTTTCCCCCCTTCTCCTCTTGATTTATCTCTGAAAGAGGAAGCAAATAGTCCACTGTGGAGTTCCAGTTTGCCTGCAGTGCTTGCTCAAGTCCTGCCTTTCAGACTTGCCAGATGTATTTTTATTTCCAAAGCTTGTCTTTCAAGGAGTGCCTAAAAGAGAAGCAACAAATTACATGCAGTATGGAACAAATGCTTGGCTGGGCTAATTTTAAAAAGCATAAACACAAACCAACCACCCCCTACACACTGTGATTCACTCCAAGGGAAAACAAAGCCTTTAGTCTTTAAGTGCTCCAGCAGAAGTTGTGATATAAAGCATAGAGCTCCTGTGCCTGTGCTTCCACTGTGTGAGATAAATCCAGCCTGAAAAACAGAAACAAACAACACTAAAATCCCCAAGCCATCCTTCTGTGTGTGAGAAGGGCACTGAGTGCTGTCTTTGAAGTCACCATGAATTACTGGGATGTTTATATCCTGCTGTTCCCATCCTATTCCTTTGGAGCAGAGCTCTCTTTTGGAACTCTCATTTAGAAAGAAGGCAGAAGGGATTCTCCCAGCACCTCTGTGCAGTCAGCTGCACGTTCTTTCAGTCCCTTCCCTCCCAGGCAATTCCTGACAGGTCCTGTGGCTGTTCCAGAGATGGTGCTGGAACTAACACAAGGTGTTCATGGGCAAAGGCAGTTGGTTGGCTCTGCTGCTCTGCCAGCCTGGATGTGGCACTGGATCCCTGCAGACAAGCATATGCTGTTGACATTTGGATTTCTGCATGCTTGCCCTTTGCTAGACTGCTGAAAAAATACAGTCCATGGCATAGTCTGTTATCAGGGGAGAGATGACATTACAAAATCCATGTACCCTGGACAAGGAAGTATGAGGGTTTCTATGGGAATTGAAAGGCACCGTTTCTTTGGCCCCTCTCCAGCAAGAAAGCACCTGCTACTCCTTCCCAGTTCTATTCCCAGTGCTTTTATTCCTATCTTGCATTTTTAATATGGATTATATGAGGTGTCCTGTAGGAAAAATACACTATTGCTCGTTCATTTCATAATGAAGCATGAGCTGGTCTTAGGGTATTTTGTGCATCTGTCAAGTCTCCTCTCATCTTCAGCACAGCTGATTCCAAACACTGTATGGGAAACTGTTTTCCTGTAAGAACAACATCTTCTCTTGCACAGACAAGTGTAATGATTTGAACTCTTGAATCTTGGGTGCTCATTGTTCCCTCAGATTTTGCTGACCTGGGACAGAAGAGATGGGAAAAGATTTTTATAGCTGAAATAGCTGCAGCTCACTGAAACAGTGCAGAATTACTGTCATGTGTTTGTCTCCTGGCTGCTTTATATTCCTACCTTGTCCCTTCCTACCTGTCACTCTTCCAAGGGAAACTATAAATGTAAACCAGATTAAGGTGTTCTCAGAGCATCAGCCCCAAAAAGCCAATCTTTGTGAGGAGGCAGTTTTTCTTAGGTGTTATCAGAAATGGAAGTGTTGTATTTTCTGCTCAGAGTGTTGGTTTTTTTCCATCCAGTATCTGTGTCTGTGTATCTGTGAAGCATTTGGGAAGAGTTATTAAAAACACAGCTGGTGATGGCTGCCAGGAGAGAGGCAGAGCACAGCTCCAAACCTTACTCAGGAAGGTTATCCTTCAAGAAACTATCATAAGGACTATCTCTACCATCCATTGCTTCCCCATCTGCAGTGTCTGGAACAGGATTGGTTCTGCTCTCCCCTCTGGGACCTGAGAGCAATCAAGATTACACCTCCCAAGTCTCACCTTCCCCAGGTAGGGTCAGTTTGGCACCACAACCTGTTCAAACTTCTCAAATCACCCCAGACATGTGCTGTTCCATCTGGAAGTGCCTCCTGCCCTCTGCCACCTGCTTTTGGGTCATTAATTGGTTTGAAATCATACAGTATTTGAACCAAAAGCTGTGGGTGCTGAAAGAAGAAATGTTTCTATGGCTGAGTGTCAGAACTCACCTGCACTCCTGTGTGCTGCTGCA